TACATTATTAATAGTCAAAGCATTTAAAATCTCATCAGAGAGGTCTAGTTTGCTAAATTCTTAGCAAGTTTAGAAAATAGTATTAGTAGCCTGCTGATACTTAACATACCCATACACTAAACTAGAAATGCACATGTCTGTTGTATTCCCCATTATTTTTCTGACAATACTGCCTTCATGTTTAGAAAAAGTACCCTTGATATTTATTAAGCCACTGAATACCACTGTCATCATTATCTTACATTTGTATACACATTTTTCAGTTTGCAAAATTTTCACTTTTATTACAACATTGTTCAATTAAACATATCTAAGAGGTAGATATTAGCACTAATTCAATGAACAAGGCCACTGACATTTGAATACATTAAATAAGTTTTCTCCAAGGTTACATAACTAGTAAGTAACAGAACCAGAATACTGACTGGTTTTTTGACTTCTACTCATGATTGTTACTGCTATAAAGCAGCTACTTCTAACAACTAGTGAGGCCCTTTCCACCTCTTTGCACAGCTGTGATATCAGAATACAGATATTTATGTGGCTGAAAGCATGGCTGCCACAAAATAACTCAAATAGTTCTATTTGTGAAAATAATGTTCACTCTTTAAAACACTACTCAACCAAATTGGTTTTACTGTAGTTTCTCAGGTTTCCTATTTTTCTTGCTTTTCCTTTGCCCAAAATATTCCTTAAGATCTGCACTGTGCAATCCAAATATAACAATACTTTCAAGTACCAGGCATTATCTTTTCAAGTTCCAAGATACACAAAACTATTTTATCTTTTTCCTCTGAATCCAGATATACCAGAGAATCATAAATTTGCCCACAGGTGGACCCCTGAACTGAAATTCTTCAGTTTTTAGACAATTGTAGATTCAGAACCCAAATAAATTCCTAGATTTCTAAGATGTATTTTCACACTATACTACACTACCTTCTTAAACTTAATCCTGAAAATACGTGAAATTGCACTATGAAGCAGTAATCTACTTAGCAAATAATAACTGCTTAGTATTTTCTGAAAGATATCAGAAATTACTGAAGGGTAATATGCAGAGGTAAAACAATAAAGTCAAAGTCTCTACTTTCAAGTTTCAACATCACTTAATATTTATATTTAAATAATAATAAAAACAAAATTACACAATACCTTAGAACTCCAACGTGATTCTGCATATGTTTCTTTTCCTGATTTTAAGGTCAACATATTATCTATAAAATATTAATCACAGATATATTAATGAGAATATTTACTATGATATATTTTAAAAGAGTATACAAATCTATTTTTTTCATGAATCTGTGGTGTTTCTTATTCAACCTGTACATACTTTTTTCAGATTATTCCCACAACTTTTATGGTCAACCTAACAGAATTGCAAACTAAAGTATTCTATTCATTAGAATAGAAAAAAATATAAATTATTTCTTCAAAAAGGCAGTAATGTGTTCTTCTTCCCAGAAACACAGTATGTCCTATGCTTGAAATTTAATGAGATAACTTTAATTATGTGTTATCTTTTTTCAATTTTTTAGCATTACTTAGTTTGATTGACTCAGCAATCTGTTACTCAAATGAGATTATCAATAAATAAGACTCTTGAGAAATATAAATTTTTTTATGTTAACAAACTTTATGTCTAACAATTTTAAGTTTCAACATGTATGACAGTATATTTTGTGTATGTGTAATAAAAAAATAAGCTTAAAAAGCTTTTATTGCATATACATTAAATTTTAAAACTCCTTTAGTTATTTTGAGACAGTCTTTCAACTGGTGATGCCTTAGAGAATCATTAGAAATCTATAGAAAAATAATTGCTTTAAGTAACCTAATTTTTCCCTAAAAAAGAATTAAATCAATGTCTACACATTAGTAAACTACTGTTTCCACATTTAATAGAATTAAATCATGATCTACACAAGATCCAAGGAGTACTGAGAGTCATGAGACAGAATACACACACACACACACACACACACATATCCAGTTTTCTTTATAAACAAAATTTTCAAATTTGAACTATTTAAGACAGGTTGAAGAAAAAAGCAAACATGCCTAACAAAAACTTTAAGGATGATTTCATCATTACGGGTCAACTGATTATTTGACATTCATGAACTAAAAATCTGATTTTTAAAACTGGTCTTAAATTCTGATCAGAATATCCCTGGAGTTCAAGTTTCCTCCAGGGAATCCAAGAGGTCAAATCATACTTTTGCTGTTGACCATGATCATTTACGTTTATTTAGAAGTGTATACTGGAATGTTTCAGAGACAAACTGTGTTGTAACACCATAGCTCTAATAATGTTTAACTCATAGTTCTAATTGCCATCGGAATATATATGATTATGCATGCTTATATCTTAAATACTATACTTTTAATTTTTAACATATTAAAAATAAAATATAAAGCCAACTTAAAAGGCTTATCAAAATCTGAATTTGTTTTTATTTTTATGTATTTTATCAGCATAAAACCGTTTAATTAATTGTGGTACAGTCATATAATAGAATATGAAAATCACGGAGCCATAAGACAGAAAACAAACATAAAACAGAAATAATGTTCCGTTTTCTTTGTAAACAAATTTTTCAAATATTAACTATTTAACATAGTTCAAAGAGAAAAGCAAACACGCACAACTGAAGCTTTAAATATCATTTTAATATTAAGGGTACATTTATAATTTGACATGCATGAACTATATATTTGGTTTTCAAATGTGCTTTTAAATTGTGAGATGAGCAACCCTAAAGTTCAAATTTCACGTAGAGAATCCAAAACTCAAATCATACTTTTGTTATCGACTATTTTCAATCTCATTTTTAGAAGTGTATACTGCACTGTTTCAGGGAAATAATGTGTTACAACAGCATAGCTTTAATGGTTCATAGGTCACACTTTTCATTTTTATTAAAGTAGATGATTGTGCATGGTTATACTTGAAATTCTTTAGTTTTAATTTCTAATATATCAAAAATCAGTAGATGAAACCAACTTAAACAAGACTGAAATTTGCATTTGCTTTTATTTTTTGCGTAAACAAACTTTAGTTGTGGTGCAGTTATATAACGGAATTTATATAAAGAATGCAATAAAAACAAAACCAGAGCTAGTTCTGTCTATTATGGATGGATCTTACAATACAATGCTGATCAAATAAAGAATGTTACAGAAAATTAAACACAATGTACAATTATTTACATATTAGAAGTTAAAAACAAATTCTACGTATTATCTATGACTGTGCACATATGTTGTATAAAGTTTAAGCATGTATAGGAACAATTTTTTAAAAACTAGTTTAGACAATTGTTTACCTCTAAACAATGAAAAGACACTAAAGCCAAATGCTTCAGAATCATAGTTTTACAAATATAATTATAAAGAAATGATTACTTCTCCCATTTTTAAAAACTAGGCGTACCACACATAAACACACATATACATGCACACAGGCACAAACATGCACACCACACACACACATACACACGCACAGAGTAAGCTAAATCAGAATAACTGATTTCCTTAGGATGCTTCAAATGACTACATCCACATGAGGTAACCAATGTTTAAACACAATTGGCATGTCAAAAAGTGAAGCTTTCTCTGAAGTAAAGGGTAGAATTTGAATCAAGTTTTGAACAGGAAAAATATTAGAGTTTAAAAATTCATCTTCTTGAATCTTTAAGTCATACAGACATTCCCAATACAAAACATTACAGTATCAGAACATAAAAATAGAAACACCTGAAATTAAAGCTAATTTTTAAAAAAACTAATTAAAATTCATGTTCTTGTAAATAATCAGTTTTTCAAACGTGGATACCACTATGGACATTATTAACTCAAATATTTCCATAATATTTGAAAAATAAACACTGGGGAGATGAGACTATTAATATGTCAACTATTGAAATATTCAGTTTAATATAATTGAACTGTAAAATTACCTGCTCTCAATGTTTGTTTATTCCTCCATTCTAAAGCTTTATTTGGAACAGAGTTTTGCATTTCAACAGCAGGCTAAATGGGTTTAGAAGAAAAATGATTAATAACGAATGTATAGTTCACAAAATACATAGTTAATAAATAATTCAAGATAAAATTATAAAACTCAATACCTCAAAGTCAGAAGGCTTTTCAGTAGACTCTAAAGCAAAAGAGATTTGTTATCAGTCATAGGTAAATATAACAAAACCAACCACAAATGAACCCAGTGATAGTATCTAACTGAGTCCTCTTGCTCAGCTTTGAGAATGATTCCTTTAGGTTTAGGAGATTTTCTTTTGTTTGTTTCTTTAGGACACTCACATGACAGAAATACACTGAAGAAACTAGGAATCTATGGTTCATCAAACATGCACTTAAGATTTCAAAAGTGAGAATGTGTTTTGCATGCAAAATGTGTTGATATTAATATGTATATGCTGAGTGATGAAAGCATAAATGATCTTTGATCAGAGGAGCAAATCGTGACCCTGAAAAAATAAATTTCAAAGCTGAACATAGAATCCTACACCATATGTTTAATGAAATACATTAGAATAATTTATATCATTACATTCATCATGGTCTTTAATTTGTCCTACAATTGAGACGGTACACCGTTATGATGAGAGTTCAGCTGAATGCAGAACTGACATCTCATCACTGAACGTGTTACAAATTGATCAGCTTGGATATTTACTTAGGGGATAATACTAAATAAAATATTCATTGTTTTCCATATCCATGTGGTGTAATCATATGCCTACATTTCTGTATCCTCTAGTTTATCCTCAGAAATTTTCTTGATTCACTCATGTAAAAAATATATACAAAATTCATTTAAAAGTTTGTGTAATGAGCTTTCAATATTGGCACGTTTATTTGAAAATTTATGGCAACATACTTATTACATACAAATAATATTTTATATTTTTAAATCAGGAAAATACTTATTTAAAAAAAATTTAGAATTCAGGTAGTAAATTCAGTATTTTTTTGTTTCTAAAAATTAGTCTGCTTTATTAAGTGTCTAATGGATTTTTATAGAACAACAATTTTACCAAAACAATTTGCTTCATTAAAAATAAAGCCAATGCTCTTAGATTCAAATATTTCTCATTTGAATAGCTAATATCAACAAAATATATACCTTTTATGCTGATAGTAATAGAGAAAACTAAAAAGTCACCATAGTTTACTCCAATTCTAGTAATCCTCCGCTTCCGGTAGTCTCTGGAGTACCCAAAATCTAATCTTCTGGAGTGCAAATATTGTAAATGCATCTGAAGTGAATTCACTCAAATTTCCTATTCAGAAACTCCAAAGTTGCCTGGCTATCTTCTTTCTTGCCCCATTTCCTGCCTCACAATCCCTCTTCCTTAGCCAAAATAATGTCCACATCTGTGGTCTTCATTTTTCCCATTCAACATCTTTTAAAATCAATTTTCCCAACACTTTCTTTCTCTTTGATTAGGAATAGTATCTGACACCTGTAATTATTATTTCTTTACCTCTTTTTCCCCTCTGACCAGAAACAGATGCAGAAATAAAAGCAATATAATGCTTTCCCTTGACCCTGTTATGTCTTGATCTTCTATCCAATTGCCCTTCTTCCAGATTTTTCCAAAGGAAAGGCTATTCTCTTGCTACTTAAGAGTGAGGTCCAAGGACCACCAGCAACGGCATCACCTGAGAACTTATTTAAAATGCCAGAATCCCAAGTCTGCTGAATCACAATGTGCACTGTTAAAAAGGTATTCAGCTGATTTTATAAAGTGTGAAAACTTCTGGTCTATACTGAGTGTATATGACAAATTATATACACGCATGGCTGTGCCAATATGCTTATATTCACCTATTGCAGATAAAACACAACTCTCTATGGTCAGTTGCTTCCATCCCTAATGCCTTCCCACCAGTGAGAAAGACAGGAGTGACAACATGTTTGCTGTAATTCCCTGGCAAATTTTGGTAATGGAAGGTCACTTTTTATTCTTCCCAGCTTTCTAATCATGCTCTATCTTTCTGTAAAGAATTATTTTATTTTACCATTCTCCATTATATAAACCTGCTTCTTGTTCCCTCATGTACTCCCTGTCTTCCTCAGTCTTCATTCCCTCTTTAACTCCTTTCTTCAGGTATATTGAATTTAAACTAATAATTCAGCTCTTTTTTTGGCACTCTCAATATAATCTGTTGCTAACACCTGAGAAGACATGTAACTTTCACTCCCTTTGTCCTTCCATGCTACGCATTTAAAAAATAATTTTCTTTGGCTGTCAGAGTATATCAGTCCTCACGCTTTTAGACAAATAATTGGTCAAATGATGTTTTAAATAAAAAATGGTTCTTACCTTCTATTTTGCCATTTATTGTCTTTATTTCTTTTTGATATGTAGCCTCAGTTAAACACACATAATTCTGTATATCACTCTCAGAGATAATCTGTTAAAGATAATATCAATAAATAATTTCTTTTTTTTTACTATTCTTTTGTTTTATTTTTTTCTGAGACAAAGCCTCACAGGGTTGCCCAGTGATATGATCTAGGCTCACTGCAACTTCCGGCTCCCAAGACCAAGTGATTCTCCTGCCTCACCGTCACGAGTAGCTGGGATGACAGGCATTAGCCACCACACCTGGCTAAATTTTTGTATTTTTAATAGAGACAGGATTTCACCATGTTGGCTAGGCTGGTGTCAAACACCTGACCTTAAGTAATCCACCCACCTTGCCCTACCAAAATACTGGGATTACAGGTGTGAGACACCATAGCCTGCCTCAATAAATAATTTCAATTTAAAAATAATAACAAGCATCATATTTTTCATTTAAAATCTTTTTTAAAACAAAATTTTTTACTCTAAAGGTAATTAGATTTAAGGCTGTTCACATATTGAAAACCAAAACATTCAAGAGAAAACCTCAAATACGCTCTGTAAATCATGCTTATCTTTTATCTTCATGTGACTACTGACTGGGTTACTGAGCAAAGAAAATACAATCATATTCCCAAAAAAATTCAATCGTGTGCATATTTCAAAAGGAATTAAATTCAAAGTATCTGCCTTACACTGTAGTCCTTGCAAAAAATAACAGGGCATTTCAAACAAAATACAACACAATTAGACATTTGACATATGCATAATTACAGATTTTGTGTTAAAAATTATGCACGGCATGAAGAGAATTTTCAGAGTATGCCATGCAGAGTAGGCACAGAATTCTGTAAAAGCTGTTTCACTTAGGAAAACAAAGACTTAAGATAATAAGAATAAATTTTACAAGTTTTTTGCTGATAAAGAACTGCTTGAATAAAAGATTCATAAGGAAAACACATTTTTGTTATTTTTAAATGAAAGCAAACAATCATTAGATAAAGTGTGCAATTCATTCTTAAGACATAACTTCAAAAAAGTAGAGCAAGCCTTCATAAAGAGAGAAAAATAAAAACATGTATTCATGAAACATCTAACATGTGCCAGACACGTATTTACAGATTTTTCTTCACCTTAGAATAATGAGGATGATGATGATGCTGGTGGTTACCCCACTTTCTACTTCCTAGTCGTTCTAGGTTGTTAAGAACAAAATGATGAACAAATATGTTCCACTGTTCTCTCTGTTCAGAATGTTTTCCTCTTAAACTTTCATATGGCATACTCTTTATCTTTGAGATGGAGATTAAATGGCAGTCTCAGACAGATCTACTCTGACCATAGAATTCCACTGCCACTCCCATACCCGTGCTAATTATAAAGTTCTTCAATTTTCTCTAACCAAACATTCTCTGTTTTGTTTTTAAGAAAAATTTATAATGACTTATAAGTGATTTTTTGTTGTTGTTTTTGTTTTTTTTGTTTTGTTTTGCTTTGTTTTTGAGATGGAGTCTTTCAAGTCCCAGGCATTATAGTTTTAAGTTCCAAGTTGAGCAAGACAAAGACTACACTTTAAACTCTTTCTCCCTGAATCCAATTAGAGCTTTTGTACATCTAGATATACACAGAATTATGTATTTGCCCATAAATGAACACAGAGAAATTATTTAGTTTTTAGACAAACTCAACTTCAGAACTCAAATAGATTCCTAGTGCCTTCTAAGTCTTATTTTCTTTTGCACTATTCTACATTGGCTTCAAAATTAATCCTGCAAATTAGCAGAATTGCACTATGCAGCTATTATCTACTTGGCACATGATTATAAAGTATGTTCTGATAAATGTCAGCAAATAAATGCTTTCTCTCTCTCTCTCTCTCTTTTTTTTTTTTTTGCTTTTCTTTGAGATGGATTCTCACTCTGTCACCCAGGCTGGAGTGCAGTGACGCGATCTTGGCTCACTTCAAGCTCCGCCTCCTGGGTTCACACCATTCTCCTGCCTCAGCCTCCCGAGTAGCTGAGACTACAGGCACGCACCACCAAACCCGGCTAATTTTTTTATGTTTTTAGTAGAGACAGTTTCACCATGTTAGCCAGGATGGTCTCAATCTCCTGACCTCATGATCACCCACCTTACGGACACATGCAGAGGTGAGAGTATAAAGTCAAATCATCTTTTTATGTTTTAAGATTACTCATTACTTAAGTTTTAAAATAGCAACAACAACAACAATACACATACCTCAGAATCTGAAGATTCTGTATCTTCTTTTTGTCTTGATTCTGATGTGGGTATCTTATCTACAAAATGTTATTCACAGACACATATATGAGAACATTTATTACTATAAATTGTAATACCATATACAAATCTATTGCCATTTATGAGTATTTCAAAAACAAAACTAACAGCGAAAATAGAATTTCAGAATTGAAGCACGTTCAGTAAAAAGAATTGATAGCATGAAGAAAGATATCAGAAAATATTTTTTTAAATAGTCATTGTATTTTGGTCTATAAAAGTGTTTTGTAAATAATAGCACTTAAGCATAGAAAGATTTTCAGAGATATTCACTAATGTACCACTTCTATTATTTTGGTATAAAAATAAAATTGTCATTACTTGTTTGATCTTGTGGAGCTTGTTCAATAATGCCAATATCATTTTCGTGTTGTCCAGTTACTGTCTTTGTTGCTTCCTCCTATTACAAACAATAAACAAAAGCAACAACAACAACAAAAAACTTCAGGAAAAAATTGTATTTATTCACTCACACAATTTATCAGTAAGACAAAAGAGAACAACAACAAGAAAAACATACACTGTATCTATCAAATCATAGGCACTATCCTGGGAGAAGCAGAAAATATACATGGAAGACAGGTTCTGGCCTATATTCAAGAAATGGTAGAGATATGTGAAAACAAAAAAAGAACAGAAAAGTATAATTCACCAGTTCTACAATTTAAGTCAATAAAATGCATAAGAGTACAAAGGAGAGAACAATGAGTTTTACCTGAAAAGTAGAGAAAATGCCGCCATAATGGGGCCGTATTTCGAAGGACAGGCAAAGTGCAGAGTCAGGATACAAAGACTCTAGGTACAACAGCATGTGCAAAATAATAAGGCATGAAACAACGTGGCAACTGAGGGATGCCAAAGTGATGTGGTAAAACTGGAACACAGTCAGAGCAAATGAGTTGAAGAGACAAAAAATGGGACCAAACCATGTAACATATGTGTCACGCTAGAATGTGAACTTAACCCTTCAGGTAATGGGTATCCGCTCAATATGCAGATGAGTTACATCAAGAAAGGTGACCCTTCCAGTGATGTAAAGACAGATGAACATGGGGAGATGGGGCAAAACTAGAAAGGAGTACTTCAAAATTATAGGTAGATGGTTAATTATGGTAATAAGATATGGAAAATTATAAGAAGGTAGATAATACAAATTTTGGTGTGTGACTGGCTTGGTGACCTGGAGGAGAGTTGAAGTGCAGGATGTGGGGGACGGTTGAAATGCAGGTTGAAGTGTTTGAGCAGTTCATGGCTACTTCCTAGATGTTATTTACTAGGATGAGGAAACCAGATGACTGAGTAGATTACAAAGAGTCAGAAAAGAGGCAGAAAAAGAATTAAAATGATGCTTTCAGTTTGAGATCTATAAGATTTGAGGTATCCAAGGGGCTTGGAAGAAAGATCTGGATAAATACATTTGGAGTATGAGTAGATGACCTACATGAGGAAAATTACATAGTGATAAGAAAATAAATATTTATAAGATAGACTAAATGGGTAGAATTAAGCAAAACAAATCTATGCAGACTGTTGAAATTTTGAAAATGAAATTAAAGGAGAGAGAAAAACGTGGGATTAAGTTTCTAAGTTATACATTTCCAAATTTCTTCCAAGAATATAATATTATTGATATAGGTAAATATTTCTGAAATATTATTGCAATAGGCATCTTTGAATTGAAAGAAAACATTTAATTCTACAACAACAAGATTCTGTAAAACAACCTTTATAAAAACCTTGAAATTTTTAATTGTGCAAGAGAAATGCTTACCTGTAGAATTATGAGGCATTTTTAAGTACTACTATAAAGTGAGATAGAAATGTGAAACCCCGCTTTAAAATTCACATGCTTTTCTTATGTTCCTGTAAACAATATAATACTAACTCGAATTGCCCATTTACACCATATAGGGTGGCAGTTTAAAATTGGAGAAAAGATCTCACATAAAGAAAATTAGGCAATAATTATTCAAGTTGAAGATTTAATAGTTTTTATATATAACTATGATTGTCAAGCAGGATTCAGTATTCACAGGTGAAGAAAGAAACTGAAAAATTCAAGTCAACAGGATTCCTGAGTTTTAGAAATAAACAAATGTATGTGCAAGGTTTAATAATTATGAAGACCAAAGTTAATAAGGCTTCCTGGAAATAATATAAAATATCTCCACTGTAAGAGATATATTTAAAAGTAAAAAGTGGAGGGAGCGGAGCAAGATGGCCAAATAGGAAGAGTTCCAGTCTCCAGCTCCCAGTGTGAGCGACACAGAAGACAGGTGATTTCTGCATTTTCAACTGAGGTACTGGGTTCATCTTACTAGGGACTGCCAGACAATTGGTGCTGGTCAGCTGCTGCAGCCCGACCAGCGAGAGCTGAAGCAGGGCGAGGCATCGCCCCACCTGGGAAGCGCAAGGGGGAAGGGAATCCATTTTCCTAGCAAGGGGAACTGAGACACACAACACCTGGAAAATCGGGTAACTCCCACCCCAATACTGTGCTTTACCAAGGGTCTTAGAAAACGGGCACACCAGGAGACTATATCCCACTCCTGGCTGAGAGGTCCCACGCCCACGGAGCCTCCCTCATTGCTAGCACAGCAGTCTGTGATCTAACTGCAGGCAGCAGCCAGGCTGGGGAGGGGCGCCGCCATTGCTGAGGCTTAAGTAGGTAAACAAAGCCGCTGGGAAGCTCCAACTGGGTGGGGCTCACAGCAGCTCAAGGAAGCCTGCCTGTCTCTGTAGACTCCACCTCTGGGGACAGGACACAGCTAAATAGCAACAACAACAAAAGCAGCAGAAACCTCTGCAGATGCAAATGACTCTGTCTGACAGCTTTAAAGAGAGCAGTGGATTTCCCAACACAGAGGATGAGATCTGAGAATGGACAGACTGCCTGCTCAAGTGGGTCCCTGACCCCTGAGTAGTCTAACTGGGAGACATCCCCACTAGGGGCAGACCAACACCCCACACCTCACACGGTGGAGTACACCCCTGAGAGGAAGCTTCCAGGGCAAGAATCAGACAGATACACTCGCTGTTCAGCAATATTCTATCTTCTGCAGCCTCTGCTGCTGATAACCAGGCAAACAGGGTCTGGAGTGGACCTCAAGCAATCTCCAACAGACCTACAGCTGAGGGTCCTGACTGTTAGAAGGAAAACTAACAAACAGAAAGGACAGTTTGTATATTTCTGTTTCTGTAGCATTTTGCTGAGAGTGCTTTAACTTCCAATTAGGTGGTCTATTTTTGGAATAATGTGATATGTGTGCTGAGAAGAATGTATATTCTGCTTATTGGGGTGGAGAGTTTCCTGTAGATGTGTATTAGGTCTATTCCTGCAGAGATGAGTTCAATTCCTGGATATCCCTTTGTTAACTTTCTGTCCTCATTGATCGTCCTAATGTTTGACAGTGGGGTGTTGAAAGTCTCCCCTTATTAGTGTACGGGATCTAAGTCCTCTTTGTAACGTCTTCTAAGGACTTGCTTTATTTGATCTGGGTGCCCTGTATTGGTGCATAATATATTTCAGGAGAGTTTAGCTTCTTCCTGTTGCAATTGACCCCTTACCATTATGTAGATGGCTTTCTTTGTCCTTTTTGATCTTTGATGGTTTAAAGTCTGTTTTATCAGAAACTAGTATTGCAGCCCCTGCTTTTTTTTTGTTCCTCCATTTGCTTGGTAGATCTTCCTCCCATCCCTTTATTTTGAGCCTATGTATGTCTTGCATGTGAGATGGTCTCCTGAATACAGCAACTGATGGGTCTTGCCTCTTTATCCAGTTTGCCAGTCTGTGTCTTTTAATTGGAGCATTTAGTCCATTTACATTTAAGGTTAATATTGTTATGTGTGAACTTGATCCTGCCATTATGATATTAACTGGTTATTTTGCTCTGTTAGTTGATGCAGTTTCTTCCTACGCTCGATGGTCTTTACATTTGGCATGTTTTTGCAATGGCTGGACCGTTGTTCCTTTCCATGTTAGTGCTTCCTTCAGGGTCTCTGTAAGGCAGGCCTGTGGTGACAAAATCTCTAAGCATTTGCTTATCTGTAAAGGATTTTATTTCTCCTTCACTTATGAAACTTAGTTTGGCTGGATATGCAATTTTGTGTTTAAAATTTCTTTTCTTAAGAATGTTAATATTGGCCCCCACTCTCTTCTGGCTTGTAGAGTTTCTGCCGAGAGATCTGCTGTAAGCCTGATGGCTTCCCTTTGTGGGTAACCCGACCTTTCTCTCTGGCTGTCCCTTAAGATTTTTCCTTCATTTCAACTTTGGTGAATCTGGCAATTATGTGTCTTGGAGTTGCTCTTCTCGAGGAGTATCTTTGTGGCGTTCTCTGTATTTCCTGAATTGAATGTTGCCTGCCCTACTAGGTTGGGGAAGTTCTCCTGGATGATATTCTGAAGAGTGTTTTCCAACTGGTTCCATTTTCCCCTCACTTTCAGGAACCCCAATCAGACGTAGATTTGGTCTTTTTACATAATCCCATACTTCTTGCAGGCTTTGTTCATTTCTTTTCTTCTTTTTTCTTTAGATTTCTCTTCTCCTTCATTTCATTCATTTGATCTCAATTGCTGATACTCTTTCTTCCAGTTGATCGAGTCGTTACTGAAGCTTGTGCATTTGTCACGTATTTCTCGTGTCATGGTTTTCATCTCTGTCAGTTCGTTTATGGCCTTCTCTGCATTAATTATTCAGTTATCAATTCTTCCACTCTTTTTTCAAGATTTTTTAGTTTCTTTGCGCTGGGTACGTAATTCCTCCTTTAGCTCTGAGAAGTTTGATGGACTGGAGCCTTCTTCTCTCATCTCATCAAAGTCATTCTCCATCCAGCTTTGATCCATTGCTGGCGATGAGCTGCGTTCCTTTGCAGAGGGATATGTGCTCTTATTTTTTGAATTTCCAGCTTTTCTGCCCTGTTTCCCCATCTTTGTGGTTTCATCTGCCTTGGTCTTTGATGATGGTGACGTACTGATGGGGTTTTGGTGTGGGTGTCCCTTTC